CAGTGTCAATCATCTCATGCAGTTTTAAATGGCTCGCTGTAGTAAAAGTCTTCTCACACTCAAAGCACATGTAGTCTCTCACACCAGTATGTATTTTCTGATGCACTTTCAAACTTTGTAGTAATGAAAAACTCTTTCCACACAAATTGCATGAATGTGGTTTCTCCTTTGTATGAACTCTCAGGTGCTGCTTCAGGCCTGAAGCCCTCAAAAATGTTTTGTCACATTGATCACATGTGTGTGGTTTCTCTCCAGTGTGAATTTTCATGTGTTCATTAAGGTTTCTTTTATGTCTGAAACTCTTTCCACATTGATCACATGTGTGTGGTTTCTCTCCAGTGTGAATTTGCATGTGTTCATTAATGTTTCTTTTATGTCTGAATTTCTTTCCACATTGATCACATGTGTGTGGTTTCTCTCCAGCGTGAATATTCATGTGTTCACTAAGGTTTCTTTTATGTCTGAAACTCTTCCCACACTGAAGGCAGGTGAAAGATTTTTTGGATCTTATTTTCAGGGAAAAAAATTTCTCAGTCTGTGAGTGACTCAAAGATTTGACATGATGATGTTTCTCCTCTGCTTCACTCAGGTCTTCAGTCTCCTCCTCTTTGATGAAGTCTAAAATGAATGTAATGAGTATGAGAAACTCTTCCCGCACTGATCACAAGTGAATGGTTTCTCTCCAGTGTGGATGTTCATGTGAAGCTCAAGAATATGTTTGTATGTGAAACTCTTTCCACACTGAGTGCAGGTGAAAGATTTCTTGGCTCTTCTTTTCTTTAGAACTTTCAGAGTTCGACAGCAACAAGGTTTTTTTCCAGTTCTGAAGTGATTTTTTCCCTCAACTTCACTCAATTCTTCATTCTTCTCATTTTCTTCAATCAACTCTGAAATAAAATTACAAATGGTTTATTTTCATTAACTCTTTCCCCGCAACCATTTGAAAGAAAAAAAATTGCCAGCCACCGCCAGCGATTTTCACTAAAATTTGATGGCCTCCAGTATATTTTGCTGTATACATATTTGAGAATGCAATACACCAAAATAAAGATCAGAGCCTCTACTTTTAACCTGCGAGAAGGGGGAAGTCTTTCCTCTGCTGTTCGAGACGCCGCCGTCGCTCGAGCTCCTCCTGCTGGGCAGCTTTGGTTCCCGCTTCCAGCTGGTGCTCCTTAAGGAGCTTCCTGCGAGCCGGAAGGGAGAGATACAATTAGCAGGAAGACAAATGATTGTAATATATAAGCGTGACATGCTCAACATTCACACAGGCCATTTTTTTGGCCCAATGAGATTTCAGTGGCCAAAATAGAAACCGAGAGAGACAACACTTCCAGATGTGTGATGCTTATTGTGTCTGGTTAGCATTAAAAAGACAGGATTTAATAGAGTCGGAAGTAAAACTTCTTACTTCTCCATAGGAAACTTAAAGGTCCCATATTGTCAAAACTGAAATTTCCTGGCTTTTTTCACGATAACTGAAGTCTAGGTGCTATGTAACTACCATAAAAGTTTCAAAACAGTCAGTCCACAGTAAAATGCACACAACCCGCATAAAGTAGCTGTGATTTTTCACGAACCATTGTGATTTCCGTAAAAAGTTGACGTCAGAACTACAGAGTCACCGCCTTCAGTCACCACCCCGAGCACCGCCCACCGTCCCACTCTCCTTTTGCCAAACCCCCAGACAACATCACATCCATGCTATTACTGAGCAACAACAACACGGAAACATGTCGTAAAGGTTAACTTTAACCACGAAACCAGATCGGCCGACCTGTAACGTTACACTCTCACTCAAAGGATGGACGATCTGACAGGATTGTT